CAACACGATACGAGGCAGGTATGCAACAGGGGTCAGTGGGACGGCCGAGGGACTTTAAGTATCAAATCGACACTGTGTCCGGTAGTCAAGGCGGAAGATAGGAAGGTGTCGTAGTCGAAAAGATCAAACCGGACGAAGGAAGGCGATCTTTTCCATCCCTTGAACGCCTATAGGCGCTATCGTTCTTATAGCGAAGGGTTGATGAAACAAGGTTCCTCGTGACAGCCGTGTTGGTAGAGGAGGTCTATTGTTTCCAACATCCGTGCATGGATGGACTGCGACAGGCGCCTGGTTGAGTGGTATCACCAAGCGTACAGGTAGACATGGAAACCAATCTGTAGAAATACATGGCACCCCTTGCCATGGTAAGTTGACCTAAATCCGGTCGGAGTTGTTGACAGTCCGAGTACTTGACACGTGACATGTAAATCACTCTGCGCAGTAGCCGAGAAAACCGCCTTGGAGTCGGAACTGAGGTGCAAACTCCACACACAGACAATCCTCAATGAACTGTGTGAGAGACGATCAAGTGGTGTACCCGAGTTTTGCGATAAAACACGGAACCCCATGGGCGTCGTGTAAAACCCGGGGAGCGCCGAGGAAGAGTCTCTCTCAGGAACGCTGGCGCTAGGGTAGGGTAGAACAGCGTTGATGTCTGCGATGTCGACGAAGTAAACTCTTTGTAAGTGGATGTCGTCATCGAATCTGATACAGACGCTGTTCACATGGCGCTCTGTTTCGATGGAAACCCGCAGGTCATCTCTCCGGAATCATAGCGCTTTAAACGACGGGATTATGGATAACGTCTCAGTGGGCAAGCTGAATCAGACCAACTGTCTATTGGTTGAAATGATTCCACCCAGGAAGTAGTACGATAGTCACGATCCCGAAGACCGACGGGAGAGTAGCGACAGGAGCGGCGACAGTTGTTTCACCATGCTTCTCCGTGTGACGAGTTATGAGACGGCAGCAAGAGAAGAGGGCAGTGGCGCCGGGGAGGCGATTGCCGATGGTGCCCCTTAAGCCGCAGTAGAAGATCGGATGGTCGGCTCGTTGATCTGAGCTTGATAAAGCTTGTTGATCTGAAGCTTGTTGAGCGCCGAAGACATCAGAGGATGCGGAGGCGCCGGAGCGCGGAGACATCAGAGGCGCCGAGACATCAGCGGCGCCGGTGGCACCGAGTCATCGGAGGCGCCGGGAGCGCCGAGTCATCAGCTTGTCATGAACAAGTCATGAAGCTTGTTGAGCGCCGAGACATCAGCGGCGCCGAGTTATCGGAAGCGCCGGAGGCACCGAGTCATCAGAGGCGCCGGAGGCGCCGAGTCATCGGAGGCGCCGGGAGCGCCGAGTCAGAGGCGCCGAGTCATCAGAGGCGCCGAGACATCGGAGGCACCGTGTCATTAGAGGTGCCGAGACATCGGAGGCGCCGTGTCATCGGAGGCGCCGAGACATCGGAGGCACCGTGTCATCAGAGGCGCCGCGTCATCAGAGGCGCCGTGTCATCAGAGGCGCCGGAGGCGCCGCGTCATCAGAAGCGCCGGAGGCGCCGTGTCATCAGAGGCGCCGGAGGCGCCGCGTCATCAGAGGCGCCGGAGGCGCCGGGAGCACCGTGTCATCAGAGGCGCCGCGTCATCAGATGCGCCGTGTCATCAGAGGCGCCGGGGGCGCCGGAGACATCAGCGTTGACGGTGTTGGAGACCGTGAACGGTCGTATGTCGTGCCAGGGGAGGCAGACTCTACGTTGGGAGCGCTGGAGCCGTCGGTGGAGTAGGAGACCGTGAACGGTCGTATGTCGTGCCATGGGAGGCAGACTCTACGTTGGGAGCGCTGGAGCCGCCAGTGGAGTAGGAGACCGTGAACGGTCGTATGTCGTGCCATGGGAGGCAGACTCTACGTTGGGAGCCGCCGTGAAGCTCCGCTGAGCGCTGCTGCCGTCAACGTAGGTGGGGGTCGACGAGCACGTTGAGCGAGGTGTGTCCTGGATACTCGCATGAGCTGAAGGATCACAGCGACGAATGACTGCAACATCGGCACTGCCTTGTGAAAGTACAGGGCGTCGTACAATCACGGCAGAAAGGGGCGGCCCCGGCCAGATTTGTTCCCGCGGCAACAAGTGCAGCGAGGCAGAAAATCTGGAATTTAAGCAAAACATAACTATGTGGCAAAGCCACAAAGTGCGGGAAGCATAATGTGTGGCCAATCACAAAGTATGGGAAGCATAAAGTAACTCAAAAACAGTATATTTTATTAAAGTTTATGAGATAAACAAGTACGCTAAAAGGGAGCGAAAAGGCAAAGCCTTAAGCAAACACGTAACCATGTGGCAAAACCACAGAGTACGGGAGACATAATGTAACTCATAAACTTCGTATTATATTGAAGTTTATGAGAAGAAACAATTACGCTTAGAGGTAGCGAAAAGGCAAGGCTTTAAGCACACCAAAACAACATACATAAATGTAATGTATTACCCAAGCCAAAGAGAGAATTCAAAACGCAGAACACGACATTACGTGGCCACGTGGTGAATGGCCAAAATGGCGGGAAAGAAAACAAAATGGCGGGAACAACATTGCGCCCGTAAATTACTGTGACGTGAGCCACAGACGAGCGATAAACGTTACAATTTACGAATGGGAAGACCCTAAGGTCACGGCCCACAACAGGTAACAATGTAGCAGCATATAATGAATGTAGAAACACGCAAAATATAAAAAACAAATAATAAGCTTTAATTTCCACAAGGGATACAAAGTACGTCCGTCCGTGGAGGTGACAAAGCAGTTATGTCTTTTGGTGTGACGTCATGACTTCCGGGTCACGTGCCGACTGTGAGAGGGCGCTGCCTCCTGGGCTGGGGACAACTTTCTTCAGCAGCTGGATCTCACACAGTTCGTCTCTCTGTCAAACATAGCAGTAAATGCAATACGGAGTAATGCAGGATAAGTTAAAAAATTAGACACATTTATAGTTGGTTGTAAAGAAGACATAATTGCATGATACTTCATGAATTTTTATGCTAAATTAGATATTATTGATATGCATATGATTTAATTCAGAAATAATGAACAGCTGTTATTTTCCGGCGATGGGACAGCCTTATTGGGTTGTTTATATTGAAAAATATTCCATGGTTATAGACCAGTTAGAAATTATTTTGAGATACATCGTCATCACCATTGTAGAATTTGTGACTTGTCACACAGTATGATTTGGAATATGAAATAAAAGTGGTTTGCAGACTGTATTTTATCCTGTTTTGCTTTGTATGTCCTTTGTTCGTCCTGACATCACAAATGTCTGTCCTTTGTTCGTCCCGACATCACAAATGTCTGTCCTTTGTTCGTCCCGACACAAAACCCTGATTTTTATTTGTCTTGTGCTGCTTAAATAGTTGTAATTAACCTTTAATTGTTTGATTATATCTTAATGTACTTGTAATGTTTCATTCCATACTTCAGGGAACAGTTAATTTTTCTTGTAAATTGCTATTTTAAAGCATCATGTCTGTCTCCGTTTGTCCCAACACTTTTTGATATTTTTTTTAACCTTGAAAGAGTTTCAAGACATTGATATATTCACATGTATTAATCCCATTTTGGGTGGCAAGTTGTACCCACTACCCGAAATGCAAATGAATTAAAACAGATTTATATGAAGAAAACTTAGGTATTGTCTGTCCTCGTTCGTCCCAACATGTCTGCGTACCATCAGTGTTTTCATGTCAAAATTAAACAAACTGAGCCAGATATATCTTCCCATGTCCAAAGATGAAAAAAAGAATGTTTAAACTTGTCAAAAATGCCGCCACCTTGTCTTTTCATAAATATCTAAATACTGACTCCAATGTAACACTTCAATGGGCATAAAAGTGAATAAGGACTCAATTTCAAAATAAGTTGCTGATTTGCTAATCGAATACGCAGGGTTACTTCACAATATTTTGATGATACGCACTAGTTTTATTTTTGTAGTGTATCTGTAATGTTTGTTGCGTATTTGATACACTCGAATTTTATTTCACTGCATATTTCTGATGCGTATTTTACGCAGATACGCAGCTTATCTGGAGCTCTGAAAAGAACTGAAGAAGAAACTTTCCTGACTTACGTGGTTTCAATGAACACCGTGAACGTTTCAAATACTCCTAAACTCTAAGCATCATTCAACGTTCACCAAAGCTTATCAGCTGCTTATTGTAAGTTATGTAACCTCCTGTTCATGTGTCACATCTGAGACAAGTAATCACCAAACTTACACTACTGTTTACTTAACTATTCTCATTTATTTGGAATTCAACTTCAAGCCATTAAAACCAAATAGAACAAAATATGCCTGGATATTAGTGTAATAACTAGGTGTTCCGATTAATTGAAATAATGACCAATATGAAGATTGATTGGAAGGTCCAAAGGTCCAAGTAATTGGACACAATTTTTCCTAATCCCACACCAATGACATTGTCCCAGCTCTCAACTGTTCTTACCTCTTAAGATTCACTTTCTTACATTCGGAGACACAAATTGGGAAAGAGTGAGGCCAGAATATTTTTTGAGAAATTAAGAGCTGAAGTAAGTATTTGTTTTTAGGTGTGATCTAGTTTTACTAACTTAACACAGAAACAGCAAACTGACACAACTGATTGAGTTTGCTGACCAATCAGTTGGGATGATAAATCATTATTTTATAACCACTTCCATTACAAGTAACAGTGCCTGCTGTATTGCGCTTTCGCAGAAAATTATGCAACAAATGTGACGTCCACTCAGTACAGAAATGTAGCTATCTTGCAGAAAACCACTTTGTGAAGAACTTAACATCTTTCTGCCACAAAATTCATTAAACAAACAGACTGCAGTATTTTAACTTGCGAGTTGAAAGCCGGATCTACATGTGTACTGGTTTACTGACACAGTCAGTTTGAACTGTGCTTTGTAAAAATCAATTCATTCCAGAATACAGCTTGGACTAGTAACCATGGTAACAATAATTCCTCCTACCCTTCTTATCTGCTATGTGTGCTGGCCTTGTGTTCAGATCAGTGTAACGGAAGTCAGATCGCTTCCTTCCCACCTCGCTAGCATCTCCAGTGCCTATGGACAAAGATGCTATCTCCTCGATGGGTGGCCGAGGTACTTCTCCCGCCATCCCAGGCCGGGGCTCCTTTGCCCCACCTCTGTAGGAAGCCCGTCCACTGGCAGGAGGGGGTCCCGCCCCAGCCCCAGCTGGTGGGGGTGGAGCTGCTGCAGCTTCCCGGCTGTACACCTGCCAACATATCAGATCGGCGATAGAAAACTAACAGTTTTCATCCACTAGTCCACATAATGATAACATATACCAAAACCCTTAAAAAGGGAAATATTTTACTGCCGTATTTTCTTGAGTATAGTGTTCTTAAAAAAAACACAGCTGTGTAGAAGGGGGTGCGCATTATACACGCAATAATGAGTTTTGATGTTTTTCTCCCCAACGGAAAGACATTACCGTGAGCAGGTAACACAGGAAATACCATGTCAACAAATCCATACTGAAGTACGCAAATTTATCATGTAATTACACAGTCTGGCTATACAAAGTGTTCTTTGTATATCCGGACTTATGTTTGTAACCTATTTCATAAATCTTATTAAAATTCCTTTCATATTCTTTTAATTACTGTATTTTCTTGAGTATAGTGCACACTTTTTCTCTCTCTCCAAAAAACACAGCTGTGTAGAAGGGGGTGCGCATTATACACGAAATAATGAGTTTTGATGGTTATTTCCCCCATGGAAAGATATTACTGTGAGCATACCATGTCAACAAATCCATACTCGAAAGGGTGCACGGGAATCACGCACGTTGAGACGCCAAACGCTAACACCGTATTCGTGCGTGCGTGATTCCCGTGCACCCTTTCGAGTTGAGTTGAGTTGAGTTGATTGGTTCCACTGTGTCATATGGCCCTGTGATGCAGGGGTAGCATTATGCAGATGGCTGTTTCAATGAATGCTTGTTCCACCCGTGACGAACACGTCTGGTTGTTGATGAAATATAGTGATAGCTAAATAGAGATTTTTTATTCATGCACCGATTGTCTTTAAATGTAATATTCAGTTATGTATGACTGTTTAATAATCTCATACCAACTTTGACTGGAGTAGATCCGATAGTTTTTCAGATATTGTAGTAAACGTTAGTACCTTATATTACCTTCCAGAATATATAGGACTAGCACCAGTTTCTACTGCTGAAGAAGGTGGTGCAAGATATCAACATATTTCATGCCACTGGTGTGCAGTGACATTTGTACATATATTATTTTGTGGAAATTTAAGACATGCAGGGACATTTGTACATATATTATTTTGTGGAAATTTAAGACATGCAGTGACATTTGTACATATATTATTTTGTGGAAATTTAAGACATGCAGGGACATTTGTACATATATTATTTTGTGGAAATTTAAGACATGCAGGGACATTTGTACATATATTATTTTGTGGAAATTTAAGACATGCAGAGACATTTGTACATATATTATTTTGTGGAAATTTAAGACATGCAGTGACATTTGTACATATATTATTTTGTGGAAATTTAAGACATGCAGGGACATTTGTACATATATTATTTTGTGGAAATTTAAGACATGCAGTGACATTTGTACATATATTATTTTGTGGAAATTTAAGACAAAACAAGAACATTTGCTTTCCGTCTTCGACAATTAACATTATTGACAATAACAATTCTGTTTCAGTAAGTCTAAACTTTATTTCATCACTATAGTTAGTGTAAGTTATTATCAATGACAACAATCTCATCGATAATCGTTACTATATCTTCCCATTGACTATAATTTGGATTATTGATCTTGTTAGCTAGCCCTAACATTAATACCAAAGTTTAATATAACCTGTCATTCTCATCCACGCTATCCCGAAAAAAAGACCCTCAAAAGAAACCACAACCTGAAACTTGTAGTCTTCAGGATACCTTTAGGATTGCATTAAAATACACGATTAACGGGCTTGTGCTATATTCTATAATTTCAGGGGTGGGAATTAATCAAGAAAGTATGAGTCCGAAAAGGGACAACATATAGCACCCCCCTCCCAATTTGAAATTCCACTAGCCCTTTGGTACCTCAACATCAAAACAAAACTGCTCCGGGTTAGCGCCAACTTCTATCCCTGAATTTCAAATATTGCCGACATTTTTTAAGTAATATTGTTCCATCGGCTAATTGAAACATATTAAAAGGCATACAAAGGTTGGTTGGTTTCTTGTTTAACGCCACACTCAGCAATATTCCAGCTATATGACGGTGGTCTGTAAACAATCAAGTCTATACCAGACAATGCAGTGATTGATATCATGAGCATCGATCCATGCAATTGGGATACGATGACATGCATCATCGATGTCAGCGAGTCTGACCACCCGATCCCGTTAGTCGCCATTTACAACAAGCATCGTCTAGAGGTGCGCGGTATACCCCGATATGGCTTTGCGCCCAATACGTATTGCGATAGTTTCAATATTGCAGCCATTTAAAAAAAGTATTACCTATCTGAATTTCTTGTTTAAATTCGTTGTTTCAAAGGCGATCGATGAAGCTGATGTCACGTTTGATTAGAGTTACGTCCCTTCTTACATAATAACGCGATATGCTACGAGATCTCGCCGTATCCATGGTAATAAAATGGCGGATCACGACTGGGAAGTCATGAGAAAAACTCGCCGTAAATCCGATGTGTGGCAGCATTTCGGGTTGAAAAGGCTTCAAATCGATCAAACAATCGAAAAAAATGTTGCCATTTGTAGAAAATGTGAATCGTTTGTGAAATACGCCGGCGGAACAACAAACTTAACCACACATCTTCGAAGACACCATCGGACTTTGGCAGGAAAGATAGGCCCATCAACAACAATGTTATCTCAAACTCGTATTGAAGAAACGAAATCGAATGCAAAATCAACAAAACAATCCCCATCTCAACCTACCAATCATGTAAGCTTCATCAGATTCAGATGAATATCACAAAGTTCTTGTGCAATGTGCATTTTCATTTGATTATTAATTGGATTGTTGTTTTAAATATTACTTCATTCATTATGTCATAAGTTATCAATTCAATTGACACACATAGACAATTATTACTCAGTTTGCATTTGACTAGTCACACAGAAATATATCATTTTGACTTTTGAGATGAGTTGGTGCTAAATAATAACACTTTCATTAGTTCATTCCTCTTGGAATACTCCATGATGATAATGTGTCTTTTCTAGTCAAAAAGAGAGTTTGTTTTTACCCAAATAATTAAACAAGTCTTAAAACAGAAGAATTTCTTTATTTTTTCTCAGAAGTTGAAAACATTTGGTTTGGGCAATATATTGTGGTACGTATCACAATACACGACTTTGTATCGCAATATATTGCAATACAGGTTCAAGGGGCAATACCCATCACTAGCATCGTCGCCTTTTACGGCAAGAATGCGTTGCTGAAGAACTATTGTACCCCGGAACTTCACAGGTCCATCTTCCCGAGGCAAGAGAGTTAACTGACTTTAAAAGTCCAGTTTCCCCCCTTGCCAAACTAGGCTGGAATTCCTGGGCTCAATCGTAGCGCCACCAGTGGCTATTACGAGTAATGTCCTTTCTATGCCTCTTCTATTGACCAATCAGATTCAACCTCTCGTATCACTTGCATTTGCTTCAAACAAAACAGTGGCGCCCACTCAAGACGATCTGATCTAAATTGTGATCAAACGAGTCTTACATTACGAAGTGCATCAAATCAAGTGAGCACCTTGATTAAAAACATGAAAAGATATAGAAAATATCTGTTGACAACAAGTTAGCAGCGGTGCACATGCTCTGCAAATCCTGCAGTCGACCGAAATATGCATGACACTTTACGAACCGGATTTCGATTTCAGTTCGCGATTTTCATTGGACTATGCATGGACTCGTTAGTCCAGCCAAAATGTAACTCCATAATACCAGCCTAGTTCGGCAAGGGTGGAAACTGGACTTTTATAGTCAGTTAACTCTCTTGCCTCGGGAAGATGTCACGGGTCAGGCATACAAAGGGTTGCTAGTTTCCGAGCATTATGGTACTCTGTACCACAATGCAAGTTTTTTTAATTAGGTATTTCTACAAAATGACACAGGAATTGATATACTAACCAGCATTTGTTAGGACCACACCTTTGACTAAAGATGACTATTTTGGTCCTAAGCAAATGTTGAGTAGCATATGTACATATTTGAAGGAGACCCATAGAATGATGTACTAAGCACCCAGGACGCTCTCAAAATTAGAAAAAGTGTCTCTTATTAGAATATAATTTTGGTGAAAGAGTCGAAAGATCGTAAATGTTATGGTTTCTGCTGACAGCCTGAAATGATACAAAAGAAGTCTGTGCGTATTATACACGACAGATATATTTTTCAAGGATTATATAGCCCGTAATTAAGGGTGCACATAACACACGAGTGCGTATTATACACGAATAAATGTACACGAATTGTGAACATTGATCAGTCGGAAGGGGGCTAAATGGGATTGTTCACTAGCCAATATATTGGGAAAAATCGCTGTGGGTGCTTATTAGAGCGGGGCGCTTATTATGTCGAATACGGTACTCTGAAAATGGCTTGTGAATGCTATTCTTAACAGAATAGCGACACATATATGTTCTCACTTCAAGCTTAATTGATACAAATTGCCACAAACTGAAACCAATCCGGGGTGAGCGAGTATGGTTTTACGCCACTTTTAACAATATTCCAGCAATATCACGGTGGGGGGCACCAGAAATGGGCTTCACACATTGTACCCATGTCAGGAATCGAACCCGGGTCTTCAGCGTGATGAGCGAACGCTTTAACCACCAGGCTATCCGACTGCCCCTCACTCACTGAAACCAATCATGTCAATGAAGCTAATGGATTTCACATAGTTAAACCCCAGTTGCATTCCAACTAGCGTAATCATGTCCTCTCACCTCTGTCCTTTGAGCCTCTTCCCCTGGCCTACGTGCCTGTTGTTGGTCCGTACCACCCCGAGCCCTTCCTCGTGCTCTGCCTCTAGCTCTACCCGACATCGCTGCAGCACTTTGGTAACACAATCCAGATTACTGTTCACTGAAAACATATGTGGTTGACATACAAAAAACTTCCTTCACCTATTCTGTCATGCATGATCATCCAACCAAAAAAAAGAGTAAAAAATATACAGATAAAAAATTCATATGACCAATGATTTTTTCATTTATCTACAGACATCATTTTTATTTATTCATATAACTTCATGCAAGTCTGCTTAATCTCGTGACAAGTTGTTTCAAGGGCTGTCAGGCTCATTATCGGTTTACAACAATACAAATTTTGTACAAGACTCGATTATTTACAGACCACCATCATATAGCTGGAATATTGCTGAGTGCAGCGCTAAACAAACATCCTGTGAACTGTGATATATAAGTTTGGAACAATGTGAAATGGAATTCATTGGGAATGTGATGTCAAGAAATCTGAGGGGACTATTATCTATATTGCACATTTGCCATATTGCTTTGCCTAAATAGATGTGTATGAGTGCCTTGCCCAGTAACTGAGAATTGTTATATACTTATCTTTGTTTTAATTATTAAATCTAGCTTTAAACTTCAGAGATTGTTGTGTGATTCTTGTAATTGTTATTTGTGGTATTAGCGGGAACCCCTGCCGTTTATACCACACGTAACAATATCCAAAGGGTTGCTTAGTTAATTTCAATCGTCAACACTCAACCTATTTCCTGAATTCTCACCTGTATGCTTATTACAAGCAATGGCAAGAAGTGAAGAACAAATGTTTGTTGTTTAACGCCGCATTCCAGCTAATGACGATGACATCATGAGCATCAATCCACACAATTGGGATATGATGACGTGTATCAACCAAGTCAGCACAGCCTGACCACCCTGATTGCGGCGTTAAACAACAAACAAACAAGACACTTGCATGTGCTCTTATCTGAGGTGTGTATACACAGTATGGCCAAATACCTGGCACTCTGATGATTATCACTTTGCAGTGTCAAGTAAGGTGTACGGAACCTTTAGAAGTCATTTTCACTCCTAATTAGCGTTTGGTGTAACATTTATTAAAGCAAATATTAAGGTAAGACTAAGAGTCTATATTTTGAACTTAGTGTGGGGCTGTGATCCATACTTGTATCAAGAAGTAAACAAAATTGTGATCCACCAATGCATCAGTGTATTGTCCCACTACTATTAATATGTTGACTAGCTTCATCACATGATGAATTTGAGCGGTAACAACACTTCAGTACTGAATATCCTCTTCACCTTGATGAAAATATTTACTTCTATTCAAGTGACAGGAACACCCAGTATCCTTGGTTCACAGATTTGCCATAATAAATTAACAATCTGCTTATTTAGAACATGTAGATGGCATGTTGCAAGTCTTGATATAAGAATGCTGGATCCACACACAGGATGCCGTTTATCAGAGAAGGCACAAGGAAACAAAGGATTTTTGCTTCATGGAAAGCTTTTGGGACTTTGTACGATGGTCGTTTGGTAATTGAGTTTGGCAACCCACTATATCGTGTCATTTTTTGGCTGTCAACATTCAATCTGGATACAGACTAATGTCAAAAACTCCAAAAAATATCATTGACATTTCATTTGGAAACTGTCATGAATTATTTTCATGAAGTTAGAGTAAACCGGGGTAATTTCGCCCACCCAAGTTATACTTTACAACCACCGCTCTCCCGGGTCAGCTACAGCATGTTTTCGTCGTTGGGGGAAGGTGAAGGTCATTAAGCCTATCACTTTCTGTAATGTGGAATTTGATTGGTCCATAGACGCCCACACCCATTGGAAGAGTGCAATATTACCGTAAACGGGGCAATTTCGCCCACCTCCGGGGTAAAATCGCCCACCTTCCTGGGGGAATTTCGTCCAACTATTTTATTAAAGGGTAATTTCGTACAGTATGTAATACACAACATAACATTTCATGTCATTGTCTTTTTTATCATAAACTGTTTTTTCTAATGACCAGAGTTGTTTATATATATATATTATTTTCTTTCAAATGAGATATCAAACAAACAACAAAGACGGATCCATTTCTGATGATAAAATTCATTTAATTAAAGAACTACTACTGGGAAGGGAATTTAAGAGACATGTCTCCTTTTTTGGTTATTTGTATGCAAAAATAGCAGTCATGAAACTATTGCGAGTGCAATTTTTGCGGAACATTCATACTCGCAAATCTCTCCAGATTTACAATATTCAACACATTACACGAATACAGAAGCAGAAAAACTTAAGTAATGTTCGAAACTGAAATACAGCTAGCGTGTGAGTGAATGAGTGTCGTTTTACGCTGCTCTTTGCAATAATTCATCAATATAACGGCGGGTGATATCAGAAATGGCCCTGACACATTGTACCCACGTGGGGTAAGTAACTCTTTCTCCACTAAATAATGTGTGAGTGAGTTAAACTTTTGAGTCACATCGGCAATATTTCAGCCATATCGTGACAATAAATACAATTAACTTACAGAAAAAGGGCTATGGATCGCAAGCCACTGAAGGTAGATCACCATACTGGGGACCATGGGGACTTACAGTACCTTTGCTACCTGCATGGACCCCAGCCGGATTTACATCACCCCTTCAAGTGCTGGTGATCACAACCCCACCGACGCTACTGTTAGATTTGCAAAGGTGACAGAAAAATGGTTTGTCATTTGATAAATCTTCCTGTGTAACTGTGTAGGGAAGGCAAGCAATGTGTGTCCACCTTGAGCATTTATCGCACTGAACCCAGGTGGTTTGCACTGAGTTGTTGATTGTGTTGGATGGATTTCGCCGTCTGCACACGGAACATACTGACTTTTTCTCCTTTTCCTGGCGTTCTTCTAACTTTCTCTTTCTGTCTTGAATCCTCTGCTCTTTCATCATGTTCTTCTTTTCCTTTTCTTCCTCTTGCTCCCTCTTCGATTGAATGACTTCATTACTGGTCAAAATGCAGCAAGAAGTAATTATTTTTTTGGTCTTTCTGGACTGGGGAGTAACAACAGGTGGCAGGAAGATTTCGTTAACAGCAGAGTTCCAAGATGATGTTTCAATCTCCTTGAATATTTTTGAACCGCCTGTTGCGAGTGATGGACTGTGTATCTAACACAGCTGTGACGTCTGCAGCATCCTTATCAAGAGTGGCAGAGGCCACAACCTCAGCATCGGAAGGAGCCTTCTCAACAACGTCCAACTCCAGTTCTAGCATCTCTTCAAGTGCAGAGTTACCAGGGCCTCAGGAGGTTCTGCAGCCTCTAGAGCAGAGGGGGGTACCAGGGCCTCAGGAGATACTGCAGCCTCTAAAGTAGAGGGGGGTACCAGGGCCTCAGGAGGCACTGCAGCCTGTAGAGCAGAGGGTGGTACTAGAGCAGCTGGAGCCTCGGGATCATCTAGAGTCGCCTGGGCTGCCTTGTATGACTGCGAGGGCATGAACGCTTCTGAAGGCAAAGCATCTTCATTAAACGGGAAAACACTGCACGCCCTGAACCCACTTGTGATGTTCCCATGGGTAAGTGCTGCATTATACACAGATCTAAATATGGCAGGCCAGGTAGCTTTGGATATGGTCTGTTCTGGGTTGTCGCTCATAAATATGGAGGCCATTTGATTATAGTTGCTCTTCACTGACCTAAAGACACTCCTGTCTAGTGGCTGAAGGTAGTAAGTGGTATGGGGAGGAAAGGCTAGTAGAGTTATATTCTCCTTAGAGGCTGCCTCTAGGAGACCCAGGGTCTCATGGCTGCAGTGACTGTCCAACAGCAGCAGCTGAGGTCTCTCCTCGCCGATGTTTGGCAGGAATACTTTCGTAAACCACTCCTGGGCAGTGACCACTACCGTGATGGATTCCCTGGAGTTGCTAGTTCTGTCAGGAACAGATTTGCTGCCTCTTTTAGCAATTATGGAGCTTGGGGTGTGTTCCATAATTATCCCCGTTTCGTCTAAATTCCAAATACGCTCTGGTTTATCCATGATATCCAGATTATCAAGTGTTTGGTTTAGAGTTTGAAAGTACTCTTCAACTATTGGCCGGTTCATCATTCTCACCCTACTCTGGCTGAGTTTTTCAGGGGGTCTTATTGATAGTTCAGGTTGACGTTTGTGGAAGCTTTCCCACCAATCTACACCAGGGATGCTTTCTTTAAAAGGCGTTTGAATTGTTAATCTTTTTACTATGCGGCATGTTTTAATTAACAATTGCTTTCTCGATATATCCCGAAACCCATTGCAGCAGCTTTGGAAACGTTATTCGCAATTTCATTTTCATTTTTTTCTGGGATTGCCGGGGGTCTGCCAAAGGTGGCACCAGACTACTCGCCCTTTAACGTGATCTCGTAAAGTAGATTTGGGGATGCCATACAGGGTAACAGCTTTGCCATAGTTTATTGTGCCAGATTTTAATCGCTGAAACGGCAGCTTCCAGTTTTATAATATCATGCTGCTTGTATACGCCCTTCTTGTAGGTTCGGGGCATCTACAAATTAGCAAAATATTTGTCAGGATTTCCTTTTGTCTTCATTAATCATTGCTATTTATGTGCAACTGATTAATGTTTATCACTATTTCATACTGTTTATTCTCATTTGATAACTTGTGAAGTCTATTTCTAAACAAAACTTAAGCTCATATTCGCATTATGTTTATTCAAATATCCTGTACAACAAGGACGGGGTAATTCCTTCCACTTTAAATTCCTGTGTAAAAGCTTATTTTTCAATTAAATTTATGTCAAATGTTACATTTTATTGAATTTTAAAACGAAAGTAACATGTTTAGAACTTTTAATATTTCCTTTCGGTCAGTGTTTTGGGTTGTTTACGACAGTTTCCTGACGTTGTCAAAAGCTGTCAAACCTCGGTTCCTGGCAATGGAGCGTCCCAGTGACGTCAGAATGTTGACCAATCACAATGAATGTTACAGTACTAGATAAAAATAACCAGTGACGTATTGGGAAAAAAACAGACTATTTATAGATTAGTCCCGAGTGAAGCGACGCCGTTTTTCTTCGGTTTTATAATATATTAGGTATGTAAATTGCGTTGGTGTGCGAAATTACCCCATTCTACCCTACATTTCTTTTGTTGTTCAGTATATTCAATGCACCAAATCCTTGAGAAGAAATTTAACATGACAAAGCCCCTTCAATCTCACAGTACAGTACACTGGTCATATTTACTGAGAAAGGGCCCTTGAAAAAAATTATAGTGGTCCAGAGGACTCCTAGTCTAGTAGGTCCAGGTAAAACCCTGGATAATATAGTTACTATAGAAGTCTATTGGGAAACATTTGCTTTTGTGTATAAATATTATATTTATAGTTCCATATTGCTTCACAACAACACGTCTGTCAGGTCAAGATTAATCCTATAAACATGATTTCACACGATAACATGTCAAAGACTATCAACCATTAGTTGTCAAGTTAGACCGTTCAAAGCATGGACACACTAGAAAACAGTTGTCAAGACCAATATCAAGATATGTCCTCGCTGCACATGGCTTCACTGCGTTCAGTTCGGAAAGGGACGGTAACAGGTCAGGTCACTCGGAAGATTAATCCGCCAAACATTAAAAAGTCACCGTTAACCATTATATTACTTGAGATGACATCTCTCCCATCACACAATAAACGCACATTCGGTACTTCAACTTTTAAACACTGTGTCTTCGAGTTCCTGTTCGTGAACAGTGCAAGGCTACCTATATGCGTGGCGTCCATTTTTGTTTTTGATCGCTGTTTGCAAACAACGAACGATGCTGTTCATACCTTATTCTGCGTAATATAATAAACATGTGCCATCAAATAAACACTGCAAATGGTTTCATTTTAAATAAAAATCATTACCATTAGTCCACGCTTCTGTCTTCTTCCCTCGCAAATGACTGCTGAATTTTTCGCACGCGCTTGTCCCCGTCAACCAATGATAAGTGAGGCGCGTTTTGGCGCATCAGACCAAAACTGCAGTGATGACTTAAAAATTGGTACTAGCCTAGGTTGGGTAAGAGAGTGCCAAAATGGACGATCTTGTTCTGAATCGCTTTCTAAAATGGAAACCGAAAGTTGTACGAGAAATGTCTGACTCATTTTCTTAGAAGGCATCAAAACCGAAAGTTGTACGAGAGATATAATTGGTTCCAAGACAGCCATGCAATGATGAGAATTGTCACATGTAGATCTATAATATATATTGAGCTATAGAGGACGCACTATACATAATATTAAAATAATATCAAATATATAACAAATATTAAATTTAAATATTAAACTTATACATTCACATCTATCAGCGTAATACTACATGTATAGTATTCAATAGTATTCAGTATGATGTATCTGTAGAATTTGAGTAGTAAGTACAGTCTAAGGTGAGGTGACGGCCATAAAATTTCCGAGTGCCGTGATGGGTTTCGAACCACGGACCTTCTGATCAGAGGTCGGACGCCTTGTCCACATGACCAAAGAGGTTAACCCCGTCAGCAAACTGACAAGGTAAGGATGTCATCTGGGGGATGACTCCACGCCCTGCTTGTCAGTTAGATAAGGTAAGGTGATCAGAAAAGATAAGAAGACGTATTGCCAAAAATCATTTCAGATGCAATATTTCAATATTTAAATGACATAACATTATGATTCATACATGTATATGAAGAAAACATGTATAGTTTATAACTTCCATTGTCACAGGTAAAGCTTTGATATATATAAAATACAAAATAAAATCCAAATGGAGCCTAGAACAATGCTTAATTCCAGCAGCTGAGGCAATCTAGACTTGCCAAATCATTCTCCACTTGAGTTGAATAATTTATATAATTTATTCTTTAGTTTGTGTATTTGTTCTTCACGCCGAACTCAGGAATATTCCAGCTATATGGAGGCGGTCTGTAAATAATCGAGTCTGGACCAGACAATCCAGTGATTAATATCATGAGCATCGATCCACGCATTTGGGATCGATGACATGCATCAACTAAGTCAGCGATCCTGACCACCCGATCCCGTTAGTCGCCTTTTACGACGAGAATTGTCTATTATATTGAGCTTACTGCACATATAATAGCTTAATAAAGGCTCAATTTGAATTTTATTAAGTAAATATTAGTATTTCATTAACAAAGTCTTGGCCTGATCATGCTGATTGGGGGTTCTAACTTCTTCAAACACACGTGACAGCCGCATTCGTGACCAACTCGTGTTTTACGGAAAGGGGCGAGTGGTGACGAATGGTTACAGCCGATGCGCCAAGCACAAGAGTTGTTTCTTTTGACTGAGCCGGAACGGGCTTTTGTTGTCAATTGAGTATTTGCATCTCCGGCTGAAGATGTTGCTATACTGTCAGAAAATAAGGCCTTTTTTTGTGATGCTGGCGATAAATCATACTCAGACCTTAGTCTTTAAAACTGTAGTTCCATGTGATTTGTAAAACATGATTGGTTTTTTAAAGGAGGACCTCAGCTGACGTTTTCTCCAACTCTTGTCACGTGACCCTTCCTCATTGTGCGTCATCCCCATCGAATATGGTCTGAATCCCCACCCGTTCAATGAGCAATTGTACGATGGTATTTATGTCAACGTGTTAACTTTGCGTATCGGTATAAAATGTCCAACTTCAAGTCGATAGTCTGGTGGAATGCTATTCCGCCTGCCTGTGTACTGACAACCGCTAGCATGCATTTTACTGTAAAACCTGGGGTAGGGTGGGGTGGGGTCTGGGGTCTGAGGTGAGGTCTGGGGTGAGGTGGGGTCTGAGGTGGGGTGGGGTCTGGGGTCTGAGGTGAGGTCTGGGGTGGGGTGAGGTCGGGTCTGAGGTGAGGTGGGGGTCTGAGGTGAAGTGCATGGGGTCTAAGGTGAGGTGGGGTCTGGGGTGAGGTGGGGTCTGAGGTGAGGTGGGGTCGGAGGTGAGGTGGGGTCTAGGGTGAGGTGGGGTCTGAGGTGAGGTGAGGTAGGGTCTGAAGTGGGGTTTGAGGTGAGGTCTGGGTCTGGGGTATTCGGTTTGGGTCTTGGGCTGGGGTAAGGGCTGGGGTCTCTTGTATTATCAGATGAAATATGTAAACAAAACCCCCAAATTGTGTTGGAAGATCTGTCTGGACCCATTATGGCAGCAATCACAGATGCTGGTTTTTCTAGCAGACGACATTTTCATTTGCCAGCTTTGGAATATATGAGAAGGATTTTAAATTCTTTATTTTTACAAAAAAATTAGTAAAATCATTCATGGATAGTAGTGGTATAACTATGAAGTGTAATTTATCTAAATGGAAAATAATGTACTTTACATATAATGACGATAAACATTGATACATTGTGATATATTTATAACAATAATAAGCTAGAAAACTTATTAAGTTGCAGTCTTCATCAGAGTGTTAATTTATGATAAATATCTAGCTGTATATCCTACACAGCTATGTTTATATGTGCGTCACTAATCACGTCTTCATTCTCAGCTTCAGACAGAAAACATATGATGTGAAACCAAGACCCCAGCCCATAACCCCAGCCCAAGACCCCAGCCCATAACCCCAGCCCAAGACCCATGCCCATAACCCCAGCCCCACCCCCCGCGCCCAAGACCCCAGCCCATAACCCCAGCCCCACCCCAGGTTTTGGCACGGGTGGCCCAGTCGTCAAAGGCACCGCGATTTGCTGCGCAGAGTTGCGTCCCTTGGGCACACCAGAAACCTATGATTGTGGGTTCGAATCCCGGTTAGCCCCGATTATATTTCTAGGTTTGTGAGCACCGTGCTTGTGGGTTTCACCAAAGTAGTAAACGTCTGAGACCTGTATTACTACGGGCTTTCCTCCCACATTAAGCTGACACGCCGTGATATAACTGGAATACTGTTAAACGGCGCGTTAAACCCAACTCACTCACTCACTCAACACCCCAGATTTTACAGTATGCCGGATGTGCCGCTCGGAAGACAAACTGAAAAAAAAACCCATTCAACAACCAAGAGATAAAGGTTTAAGTGACAGGCATATTTATCATGTTTATGTGCTCTCTAGCCAAGATCTTCCCGAAGCAAGGGATCCGAAGATTAATGATTTTACAAGTCTAGAAACTAGACGTTTAAAGTCAGTAAACACCCTTGCCTCGGAAAGAGTGCTGTTCTCATCAAAATTATCTATATTTATATAGATTCTAATATGTTGAGATATGGTGAAAAAAACCTCTTTACAGAAGACTTTTAAATGGAAGTGAAAAGATCTGCACCTGTCTCATGCTTGAAGACGCCCTGAATGTTTCCATACGGAGAGATTGCTACAAACATTGTGTGTAAAAACTGCTGTGTTGTAGTGGTAAGAGTTGCAAATACTTGACACTAAAAGCCCGTTCAGGCTCAGTCAAAAGAAACAACCCTTGTGCTTTGTAACCATTCGTCACCACTCGCCCCTTTCCGTAAAACACGAGTTGGTCACGAATGCGGCTGTCACGTATGTTTGAAGAAGTTGGGACCCCCAATCAGGCTAAGGCTTTGTTAATGAAATACTAATATTTACTTAATAAAATTCAAATGTAGCCTTTCTCCAAGCCGTGACAAAAGACAGATACATGTGACTAGACGCGCCTATTGAAGATGTAGACTGCTTCGATGGCCTCATATATATTTCACACACATTTTGGAGACGAAGCCCCAGCCTCACTAGCGTCTTGCCACACCGTGTAGCTCTCTTGTTGAATATATATTTGTTTCTGTTTCAACTTTATATCTAAGTTTATTTCGGGAATTATATGTTATTTTAAAGACCGCCCCAATCATACCAAGGGTTTTCAATTTGAACTGATTGTTACTACAATGTTGACATCTGTTCCGCATTTTCTGAGCTGGGCTGAGGCACAGGAGTCCGTATCTAAAAATAGACGCCCTCATGCATATTCATGACCATCTCCACACGCGAGCCCGAAGGGCGAGATGGTCATGAATATGCATGAGGGCGTCTATTTTTAGATACGGACTCCTGTGGCTGAGGCGAGCATAGTGACCTCGTTATATCTCAACATTGTTGTGCAGTGTAACGTGGCTATAGCGCACGTCAAGATGTACACAATATATGTGTGGTATTTGAAGGAGGGAAAGAGATGAATTATGTACAAACTACTTTGTAATCCGTCAACTTCTAAGAAATGCCTGTCTCACAGTCCTAGAATAACATCTTGTCTCTGAAATGAACTATTTTACAGGAAGAAAACCTGTTAAATTATAGTTATAAGATATAATAAAAGGGAGACCAGAGACTCCAATTTCCTGATACTGTAGTAATCTAGACTTGCCAAATATTATAGACTTGGATGGGCTGCATTGGATATAGTTGTTTCATGGTTAGTCTGTCTTACAGACCCTGATACAAATATATATCAAATACAGCCCATGCAAGTCTATAATGTTTGGCAAGTCTAGATCACTGCAGTATCAGGAAAATGAAGAGAGTCACTGGGCTCCTTTTTATTATATTTTTATTAAGATAACTGAACAACTGTTTTTTATGTACGATATGTTCATTTCAGAGACTAGATGTTAGTCTATTTCATGGTCTGTTTGACAGACTATCACAGTCCCAGAACCATATATTATTTTCCCTTCCGCCCGACCGTTACTGTACATAATGCTTTATAACACTAAATGAAGCAAGTCTAGATTTCTTCAGGTTCTCTAATCCCCATCTTACTGGGGCTCCTTTTCAATATAAATGTAGTTTGATTTCTATCAACATTATATATTTTCAGAGAATACGTCATTATTCCCAAAAGAAACGGAGGCTATATATCGATAGTTGCCCTGTGTGTAAACAACTGCGCATGCGCACAATACATGATGATCTCTCTCGCCGGGTGCATATGATTTTGATAGTGTGACAGTGGAATCACATTAGCCCATAATCACCACACACGAATGGAGTTGATATTTGTTGATATTGCACACGACACCTTGTTATCAAATCCTCATCTCCAAGTTGAGTCAGAGTGAGTGAGTATGGTTTTACGCCGCTTTTAGCAATATTCCAGCAATATCACGGCGGGGGACACCACAAATGGCT